TTTTTGAGACCGAGTCTCAAGTTGTCACTGTGGGTAGAGTGTCATGGCCTCACAGCTCACAGCAACCTGAAACACTTGGGCTTAAGCAATTCTCTTGCCTTAGCCTCCCAAGTAGCTGGAACTACAGGAACCTGCCACATCACCCAGCTACCCCTTAATATTTTGAAATTAAAAAATTGAGCGTTAAAACTTGCTAAACTTAAAAATAGAATAAAAATATTCCTAAATTGAACTTGGAAGTATAATAAAGGACTAAGTTCTTAAATTGTTGCTGAGTTAGTCCAGCAATCCAATTACTCTATTACTAAGCATCTCTTGAAAGCACCTGCCCCACAAGCTCAAAGCAAAAATTTCTCTTCATTGACATTTATTCAGAGAAATTATTTATATTATCTCATGCCTACCCTCTATTCTATCAATTTTCTGTATCTGGAATTCACAGAGAAAGAACAAAAGTTTCTGGATATATTTTTCATGTGTTTTAACTTTTCTTTCATACTTTAAAGAATTTTTTTTTTCTTTTTGTAGAGACAGGGTCTGACTATTGCCCAGGCTGGTCATGAACTCCTGGCCTCAAGCTCATCTTCCTGCCTCCACCTCTCAAAGTACAAGGATTAAGACATGAGCCTGACCTTTCATAATTTTTATCTATTGTTTCCTTGTATTTTGAAAGAATTCCCCACTTCTCAGTTTTTATTTTCATTGCTGTCTCAGCGCCCAGGGACTCATATGTCATTTTACTAATCCACAGCCAAGATACAATCAACACAGCCTTGATTAAGGAGCTCCTATAGTGGAGGAACAATGAGAAGGCGGATACCAGTGTGGTCATGGCCTAGCTCCCATTTCAACAATGTGCTGAAGTGCAATCAGAGATTGCAGTTTCCCAAGCAAGGGAGATTGGAGATTATAGAAACCACCGAGGAGTTGGTATCACAGCAACACCCACAGTTGATGTTGCTTAATAATGAGCCCACCTCTCCTGTTCATATGTACATGACCACAGAAGCTCTCCATCCACAGGGCTTTGTCTGCTTTATAAAATGTCCCTCCTTCCTTCCTACACTGACAAAGGCATCAGAAACCATGCCCTGACTTATTTAAAGGCTTTCTCCACTTTGGTATGACAAACGAAGCAAGGGGTACTCACAAAGAAAGTTTGGCAGAAGTTCAGGAATTGAGACCTCAGGTTTCTGGAAGAGGTGAGAGAAAAGTCAAGCATAAAGTAAGAAAGCAAACCCCAATCCCCAATCCTTCTTTAATAAAGGTTTCTCCTTCAGAGCTAAAGGTCCTGGAAACATGTAGACACTGTAATTCAAATAAGGAGAGGGAAGGGTGAGCAGGGACTATTTTCCAAAGGTGTCTAGAGAAGTCCTGGTAGGAAGGAGCCTCCCTCAGAAAAGTGGCCCTCCCCTCCCCCACCACTTATCATCCTCCTTCCCAGCTTTGTTTTTCTTCATGTCACCTGTTACTGCCTCAAATTACAGAACTTATTCATCGACTTTGTTATTGTCTGTCTCTACTGTGGGAGTGGGAGTTTGATGAGGACAGAAACTTGGGCTTGAGTAATACTATTCCTACTTTATTGCCTGCTGCTTGGCACACCAGTTACTTCTGAATCAACAATCATCAAATGAAAGATTCCATTGGCTCCAACACATTGATAAGCATAGCCTGGAACTAATTTTCCTCATCTTATGTTCTTCTACACTTGAAAACTTATGTTATCATTAAAAATATTTGTTGTGGTTTCATAAAATTTAATGAGGTATAATTCTTACACATCAAAATATTTACAAATTCAACTTATTGCCTTAAGCCTTCCCAGCACAGTGTTAAGAAAATACAAAGCTCTCCCATTTTGGCTCAAGTTCACAGTTTGCTAATCTTCATGTCATTCCAAAAAAATGGTAGCCATCAAACATAAATCCCATAACATAACCATAAAGTTACAATAATGGTGTTCATATTTCTTGCTTATTTCAGGAACTAGAGGCAGCTGGCCCCACACTGTGTACTCAGGTCTGACCCAAATAGCTCTCCTCTGAGAACTCACTATGCTGCACCTTATTTGTATTCTCTACGTGCAGAGACTAGAAGACTGGACATTTCTTCTTCTTATAAAGACTGTAGGTTATTTGTACTTACTAGCTTCTAAAATTCAGGCTTAATGTGGTTCATGCTAATTATCTGACGCTAGGAGTCCTGCCCAGGCCTATGTACCAGCAATGCTGGTTTCAAGTAACTGCAGCTGACTTCTTGCTCACACCTTTGAAACCCAAACAGGCCAAAGTCATCGAAATTTGCACATAAAGAAAAGAGCCCTGAGATATAGGACACACATGGGACAGAACACGATAATCTCCTGAGGACTGTGATTTGTGGGCATTTCCCTATGCCAGAAATGAATTAAAGTTAATTGTATTATTCAAGATCAACCTTCAGGCACCCACATCTGTTCTTTTCATATTTATGTAACAAAATGAATGTGTCTAGTTCTGGAGGCTGAAGAATCTGTTCACCTCAGTCTTCAGAGTCACTGTGACATAGGAGGTCAGACAACTAAGTTCACGAAC